TGTAGAAACTACAACAGGTGACAAAGGTTCTGTTGTGAACGACTGTCATTGGGACCCGAGGCGGAACGGTTAATTGGCACTTGTTTTTTAAGGAAAACCATCTTAGAGCTCAACGGATATGTCGTAAAAACTTTTAGGAGCGCTTGTATTCCTTATCAAATCAGCCGCAGGTAAAATAGCTGATGTTTTACAATGGAAATACATAGACTCCGCCAGCGCGGGCTTCTACGGAACAAAAAAATGAAGGACCAACTGATTTCGCGCGCGATGTTTTCCTTATTGAGAAGCCTCATCGTCCCAGTAGCAAGCAGCTAAGATGTCGAGCGTCCTGGATGCCCCAAAAACAAGAATAAACTGCTCCATGCTCTCGCAGCATATTAATCGAGCAGTTTGTTTGACTGGACACGTCGGACAGGTCAGTTTTGTTTGTAACCAGCTTGAATTAAAGGGTCGTTTTAACTGCAGCATATGAGTCAAAATGGCCTGTGAATGTTCATATTAATTAGGGTTTGCTGTCTGTTTTATGAAGGTTCATCCAACTGGAAAAACGTTCACAGTCAAGGATGGAGAAGGAAACACTGCAACAGTTGAGCTGAACGAACCCGTGAGTACATTGACATTATAAAATTCGACGCGGAGCAACCATTACATGTCACATTTAGGGATTTTTCCTAGAACTTTAAGCCCTTCAATATTTTCTTTTCTGTAACGCAATTAACCCGTGAAGCAGTTGTGCCGGAAAGCAGTTTGTTGTCGTGGTAATCGTTCTAGAACTTTGTGTTTAATGGTCAACATTTCTGTAACCATGACACCTATATGGAACACTTCGAATCAAACTAACTATGCTAGCTAATGTCAGTGTTATGCTAGCTAATGTCAGTGTCAAATGTACGTGTTTCAAACAAAGAAACACACATTTCAGTGTGGTAAAGTGCTAGTGTGATATTGTAGCCACTGACAGGTGCCTAGGCTCTTTATGTGTTGTTGTTATATCCACTAAAACACCTGACTGTGACGTGTTTTTCAGCTTGAGGAGGAGCTGAGTGGCATCGTGGAGGTAGTTGGTATGGTGTCCAACAAAGGATCCATTATGGCCACCGTGTACAACATGCTACGAGAAGACAAGAGCGTTCCCTTTGGTGGGTATCTTCTCCCAAAGAGGCTAGACTTTGATGATGCCGATGCCTTCATGAACCGGTTTTTCTGTCCCACAGATCTGGAAATGTACAACGGAGCCCTGAAGGTGATTCAGGACTTCCCTCAGTACTATCCTTTTGAGGTGTCTGCAAGCAGGTGAAACCCAAGGGAAGATGGCATCCTCTGTGTTTTTTTCTACTCAGCTTCTGTTGTGTTTGACAAAGTTCGGTTGTAAGTTCAGCGGGGAAATTATGACACAATATTAAATGCAAAATTTTTACGTTTTTACTCGTCTGTCATCTTTGAACCTCAACAAGACACCAAACTGCTTTACGTTTTAATTTAAATCAAAAGCAGGAGGTCAGAGAAATGAATGTATCACATAACATTTTGGCTGTTTCTTAAATCTCTTCTCATAAAGATACTGTACGACGCCACACACTGAAAATAGGGGTCAAATGTATGAATCAAAATCAGAAATACTTCAATATTCCCAGAGGGAAATTATTTAAATTGACATGTTGAAATGTGGCATGACAGATGCTTTCTTCTGGGAGTTTGTAGATCTTTTCTTTGCCTTCTTTGAACAAAATATCCTTAAGCAAATTGGGCCTCTGGCAGCTCCAGAAGGACCTCACTGCCTCACTCTGGCCAGCAGGGGGCAGTGTGATATAAACACCTCTGGACTCTCCATAAACCAGGGGAGGGAAATATTCCTATCCCTAATTGTCTTGTTTCCTTAACTCAAGTCTACATATTGACTTCCAGCTGTTGTTTATTGTCCAGGGGGGGAAGCCACAAACTGATTTATTGGAAGCTGAGTGTGATCTGTCAGTTACTCATTTTTAAGGGAACAAGACTCAAGTCCGATACTTTCAACATGGTGGAGCCTGGCCAGGTTACAGAGCCCTAAAAAGGCCCCGACTGCAGAGGTCTTCAACAGGGGGTCCGCGGCCCCTGGGGGGTCCCGGAGGTACTGCATGGGGGTCCTGAAAAGTTTGGGTTAATTAGACTTTTTTTTTTTATATATTCGCCCCTTCCTGCAATTTTTCCCACTAATGTAAATGTATTTAAATCCACATTAACATGACTTCAACAGACTGTAGTAAACAGATAAATGGAGCCAGAAGATGTCTTCCAGTCATCAACGCTCACATTCAGCCACACACAAGAGCTCTATCTATCTATCTATCTATCTATCTATCTATCTATCTATCTATCTATCTATCTATCTATCTACCTATCTACCTATCTATCTATCTATCTATCTATCTATCTATCTATCACACAGGAGCTCTTTCAAGCTGGGCCCCGTTTCATTCACAACACCTGTCCCACCAACCAGGAACCAGAACCAGATGTTTACAGTAAAAACAGGAGGATATCAACCTGTGGATTATCTGAGGATCTTAGT